GAATTCTGTAACTATTAGCTACTTAAAATTTTTTATTTTTTAATTTACATGCAAGTTAGTTAGCATATTGTGCAATAATGATTTCAGGAGTAGAGTCCAGTGATTCATCTCCAGTCTATAACACCCAGTGCTCATCCCAAGTGTCTTCCTTAATGCTCCTTGCCCATTTAGCCCATCCCCCCCACCCACAACCCCATCAGCAACCCTCTGTTTGTTCTCCATATTTAAGAGTCTCTTATGGGGGCGCCTGGGTGGCGCAGTCGGTTAAGCGTCCGAGTTCGGCCAGGTCATGATCTCGCGGTCCGTGAGTTTGAGCCTCGCGTCGGGCTCTGGGCTGATGGCTCAGAGCCTGGAGCCTGTTTCCGATTCTGTGTCTCCCTCTTTCTGCCCCTCCCCCGTTCGTGCTGTGTCTCTCTCTGTCCCAAAAATAAATAAACGTTGGAAAAAAAAAAAAAAAAAGAGTCTCTTATGTTTTGTCCCCCTCCCTGTTTGCTTCCCTTCCCTTATGTTCATCTGTTTAGTACCTTAAAGTCCTCATATGAGTGAAGTCATATATTTGTTTTTCTCTAATTTTGCTTAGCATAATACACTCTAGTTCTATCTACATTGTTGAAAATGGCAAGATTTCATTCTTTTTGATTGCTGAGTAATAATGCTCCATTGTGTGTATGTATGTATGTATGTATGTGTGTGTGCGTGTGTGTGTGTGTACGTGTGTACACACAAACCACATCTTTATCCATTCATCTGTTGATGGACGTTTGGGCTCTTTTCCATACTTTGGCTATTTTTGATAGCGCTGCTATAGGCATTGGGGTGCATGTGCCCCTTTGAAACAGCACACCTGTGTCCTTTAGTTAATTACCTAGTAGTTAGTAGTGCAATTACTGGGTCATAGAGTAGTTCTGTTTTTAACTTTTTGAGGAATCTCTATACTGTTTTCCAGAGTGGCTGCACCAGTTTATATTCCCACCAATAGTGCAAAAGAGATCCTCTTTCTCTGCATCCTCACCAACATTTGTTGTTGCCTGAGTTAATTTTAGCCATTCTGACAGGTGTGGGGTGCCATCTCATTGTGGTTTTGATTTGTATTTCCCTGATGATGAGTGATGTTGAGCATTTTTTCCTGTATTGGTTGGCCATCTGGATGTCTTTGGAGAAGTGTCTGTTCATGTCTTTTGCCCATTTCTTCACTGGGTAAGAAATGTTTTTTGGGTGTTGAGTTTGATAAGTTCCTTATGGATTTTTGGATACTAACCCTTTATCTGATGTGTCATTTGCAAATATCTTCTCCCATTCTGTTGGTTTCCTTTTACTTTTGCTGATTGTTTCCTTTGCTGTACAGAAGCTTTTTATCTTGATGAGGTCCCAGTAGTTCATTTTTGCTTTTATTTCCCTTTCGTCTGGAGACATGTTGAGTAAGAAGTTGATGCAGCTGAGGTCAAAGAGGTTTTTAAAATGTCTGCTTTCTCCTCGAGGATTTTGATGGCTTCCTGTCTTACATTTAGGTCTTTCATCGATTTTGTGTATTTTTGTGTATAGTGTAAGAAAGTGGGTCCAGATTCATTTTTCTACATATTGCTGTCCAGTTTTCCCAGCATCATTTGCTGAAGAGACTGTCTTTATTCCATTGGATATTCTTTCCTGGTTTGTCAAAAATTAGTTGGCCATACATTTGTGGGTCCATTTCTGGGCTCTCTGTTCTGGTCCATTGTCTATCCATTCTTTAAATGTCTATCGATTATTTTTTAAAAAGGTATAGTATTATTATTAGTAGTAGTATTACTATTTTATTAGGTAAACTGTATGCCTAATGTGGGGCTTACTTACGACTTTGAGATCAAGAGTTGCACACTCTACCAAGTGAGCCAGTCAGGCGTCCCTACTCTTAAATTCTTTAATGTGCTCTGGGGCGCCGGGGTAGCTCATTCAGTTAAGTGTCCAACTCTTTGATTTTGGCTCAGGTCATGATCTCGTGGTTGGTGGATTCCAGCCCTGCATCAGGCTCCATGCTGGCTGTGCAGAACCTGCTTGGGATTCTTTTTCTCTCCCTCTCTCTCTGCCCCTCTATGCGCCTCTCTCTCTCTCTCTCTCTCTCTCTCTCTCTCTCAAAGTAAATAAACTTAAAAATTTTTTTTAAAGTATTATAAAATTCTTTAATGTGCTCAATTAAAACAGGACTTTGTGTCTGTTTAAGTCTTCCTTTTTTTCCTTATCTCTGGTTCCCCATCAGTGGTGTTTGGATATATTCTTTCATAATTTTTCTGATTATTTGTGTGCACGTGTGTGTTATAATGCTATTATGCCATATTTGCTTTTCTTTTTTTCTTTTAAGTAGGCTTCATGCCCATGATGATGCCCAATGTGGGGCTTGAACTCATGACCTCGAGTTCAAGACCTAAGCTGAGATCAAGAGTCGGATACTTAACTGACTGAGCCACCCAGGCAACCCTGGTTTAATTTTTTTCTTAATATGGTCTGGCATTTTCCCATATCAGTACATGAAGAGTTACCTCATTTCTTTTAAAATTGCATATTATTTCATAATTTAGTGAATCTGTCAGTGGGCATTTGTAACTTTTTAAACAATGCCATAGTCAACATCTCATTAACATTCATATTTGTGCACTTTTATGTCTTTCTCTGAACTATGTACCTAAAATGGATTGTTGAGTTAAACAAGTATATCAAAATTTGATAGACTGCCAAGTTGTCTCATAAAAGGTTGTTCCGATTTATATTCGTTGAGTGGTGTATGAGATTACCTGTTTTCTTACACTGTGCCAACACTGGCTATTAAATTGTAAAAAGATTTTATCACTCTCATGACCAGAAGATGGTATTTTTTATAATTTGCATTTTCCTATAATCTGCATTTTATTTTATTTTTTACAATCTGTATTTTAAAATGAGGCAGATTTTTTAAAATATGTGTTCTTTCTTGAGCTAAGAAGAATAAATTTTATAAATGTACTTTGTGAGGGTAAAAGGAAATTTATGCTAAACATGTTCTATCCCATATTTGGCATAAATGTGGGATAGAACATAGTTGGTATCTCTCCGGATAAGTAAAACAGTATGTAAAGCCCTAGTATGGTACCTAATGCATGGTGGATATTCAATAAAAGTCTGTTCTCTTTCATTCCTTTATTTTCTTTTTCCTCCAGTTAATTGATAATCTCTTTTTGGCCTGCCTTGTTCTTTAGGTTTTCTGTAGTTGTTCCTCTGTTATTTGAGATAACAGAATGAAAGATATTTTCAGTGAGTTTATGTGAAAGATTTCTGCCTTGGATCTGTGGGAGTCAGAAGGTTGGGCAGTACAGTTTCTTGTCTTTCAAAGTAAAATCTTGCATTTTATATTTTTGTAGCATACATTCCAGATTTTTACTTGTTTTATGAAAAATATCTCTAGGGGCACCTGGGTGGCTCAGTCAGTTGGGCGTCCGGCTTTGGCTCAGGTCACCATCCTGTGGTTCATGAGTTCGAGCCCCGTGTCGGGTTCTGTGCTGACAGCTTGGAGCCTGGAGCCTGCTTCAGGTTCTGTCTGTCTGTCTGTCTCTCTCTCTCTCCCCAAAATAAATAAAGATTAAAAAAAAAAAAAAAAAAAAAGACAAATATCTCTGTTAAGTTCTTGAGAGGGACTCATGGGAAGCTCTTGGGTTGGCAAGCTGACCGCAGAGCTAGATGGGTTGCTGAAGTGTTAGATGTGGTCAAAGCCTTTAAGAAAAGGTTGTACATCCTTATATTCGTCTATGTAGTAACGCAATTTCATCCATGATATAGTAGAGCAAAGAAACTAGAATAACCAAAACAATTTTGGAAAAGACCCACTATGGAGGACTCACATGACCTTTTTGAAATACTGTATAGATTCAGTAATCAAGACAGTGTAGTATTGGAAAAATGGATAGACTTATAGGCCGGTGGAATAGAAGAGAGTCCAGAAATAGATCCACACATAGTATATGTGATTTTACTACAAAAATGCAATGGCAGTTCAGGGAATAAGGATAGTCTGTTCAACAAATTATACAGGAATAATTAGATGTCCATAGGCAAAAAATACAGATCTAGACCTGTAGCTACACTATATACAAAATTTATCATGTATCATTGGCCTTAATATGGAGCCTAAATTTGAAAACTAGAAGAGTTCTAGAGGAAAACGTAGGAGAAAATCCTGTGGCCTTGAGTTAGATAAAGATTTCTTAGATACCTCACTGAAAATATAAGAAAGCATGAGGGAAAAATGAAAAATTCGAGTTCATCAAAATTTAAAGCAAAAGACACAGTTAAGACAATGAAAATACGGGTAAGACACAGTTTGCAAAGCAAAAGACACAGTTAAGAGAATGAAAATTCAAGTTATAGACTGGGATAAAATATTTGCAGAATTCATCTGATAAAGGGTTGGTACTTAGAATGTATAAGGAATCCTCAAAACTAAATAATAACAAAATAACCCAAAGAAAAGTGGTCAAAAAATTTGACCATTCAATTCACTAAAGAAAGGGATGGCAAATAAACATGAAAAGATGCTCAATGTCTTTAGTTATTAGGGAATGTGACACAACTATACTCTATCAGAATAAGTAAGATTAAAATGCCCTGGACTCTTTGTGAGGGAGTTCCAAATGGCCCTGTGCCCTTGGAGCATTGGATTTGAATCACAGATACAAAATCTGTGGTGCTTAATAGTGGTTCTAATTGAATACAATGGTAATCTTTGACAATTTACAGAACAGAAAGGATTTCAGTTTGCTTATTAGGAAAGGCTCTTCTATAGTGTAGAGTCTGGGTCCCGTAAAAATGAATGACTCCGTTGTGTTCTATATTTCTGGGTTTTCTTTTATTGGATCTTTAAATTTTGGACATATATTTATCTGCTTTAAGCTCATGCTATGAAGAGTGACAAAATTCTACCTAGTTAGGTAGTGTGGAGTGTGTTTTTCATACTGCTGTCTGTCACAGCGGCTAATTATTCTTTGTGGTTGTTGCAGGTACGCCATCCTCTAAAGCAACAGGGCTAGCCAACGGTGATCATGGAATGGAAGGGAATGATACTGCGGGTAAGTGGTTCCCCGGATTCCCCAAATGTGGAGGTGAAACAGTCACAGTAAACACCTTGATGAGCTTCTTTGAGGAAGACTGTTAGGGAGGCATGTGAATTATCTCTAAGGGTTTTGTTGTTCTTGTTGGATGTATTCAAATCCAGGGCATCTGCCACATAACATCTCTAACAACAGAAGAAAGAGTGGTATTGAATATTTGTTGTAGTTGTGCCACACAAGAGCTGGATCAATCTTAAAACTACGATTATAGATGCAAACTAATCATCATCAAAATATGTTATATTGGAGGCCTTTGGCCACTACAGCTCTTTACACAGGCTTTCCCCCACTGCACTTAGCTTGCTTGCCATGGCTTAATGTTAGGAAATCTGTGAGCCACAAATTAAAAGTTCTTTCCTTTCTATTTTGCCCTCGGTCTTTTTCTCCCCGCCCCCCCCCCCCCAACTGTTACTTTTGAAATCTGTCTCTAACTTTAGCTCCAGCCTATTAATTACTAAGGCTTTGATATTCTGTCAGCTGGCACTCAGTTCCTATGGGTTTCCACCTCATAACTAGCACCAGCTGTCTGACCCCAGAGCAGAATTCTCGAAGAAGTAGCAGGATCCATAGGGATGTACTGTGCAAACCTTCTCTTAGGTAGCCATTATGAGAGTCATGTTGTATTTTTATAAATAATTGCACTTTGCAGTTGTAATCAGGCTGACACTGTTGACCCAAATGAATAGACTTCTAATGGTCAAGCAAACTGTTCTTTGCAACGGAGCGTGCCCTTAACTGGGGCATAACATTCGATTCACATTGCTGCATTGGAGGTAAGCACTAGACACATACTGTGTCTGTGTTTCCCTTGTACGCATACCTCAGCCTTGAGAAGACTTTTCTTGAGCCGCCATACGATTTCTGTTTGTAAGGCTTCCAGAAAGCCTCCTCTTAGCAACAGCAATTATTCCAGGATTTATTTTTTATTCTGTGACCTTTCAAAATGTCCTATCTTTGTACCTCAGATTTATTGATGGCTGGTTTCCATTTGTTGTGAATGTTAGTTTTACCCACTGACATTAACATCCTTATTAGCAGCTCATTAACTTAGAAACTCTTTACTTTAAAAGCTAAAAACAACCAGAAGTGACACCTTATCTTCCAGTTTTGTGAACAGAAATTTTTGTATTTATTTGATAACCTTTGTTGTATTATTGACTGTTTCTGTGCCTGCTTTGAAAGCAGAGTCATCTTTGTAGTATAGTTTTAAGGAAACATTTATGGAAATATACCTGTGATTAAAGGAGAAGCTTGAACATGAACTTTTAAAAAAATGTGTAAGTTCAGCTTTCTTTAACAAAGAGGCAGTGCCAGGGGAAGAAAAGGCTTGGAGGGGATTGATTTGATTAGCCAGTTGAAGGAGTGGATGCCATTTTCATCCAGAGAGGAAACAATTATCCAAACTAGAGTAGATTTCTTCCCCAGCAAGATGTCAAGTATGACCAGAAGAGACCCAAACTTTGGGTAGCAATTGTTTCCGATTGCCAACTCTTACTAGCACGGAAAAAATTGAACAGGAAAAACATGCAGCCTGGCCCTTACTGTTTCAAGACTTTTAGTTACCTGGTGGCAGAAAAGAACCCAGGGATTTATGAATTGCCCACTGACATGATGGCAGCCGGTAGAGTATGGTTTGCATACCTGGGAAGATGTGTGTGTTCTGAATTTGACCTTTTGAAAATATGCATGTTTCACTGGGGGGTGGGAATGAGTAGGGAGGGGACAAAGAGTGCATGTTTTTGGAGCATGATGTGACCTCATTCTGATTTGGCCATTACTAACTAGAGCACATAGCTCAGTGCCATTTTGAAAAACTCCCATTTCTGTTTTATTCAGGATGTTGTCTCTAGTCCTAAGAGCAGACCAGCTCCGCTGATAGCATATAAAGGGTGTATGAGCATCTTGCTATGTTGAACTTGCTGTTTACTAATGACCTGTGCTTTTCTGCCCTTTCCTTCCCCTTCCTACTTCTTCCTCCCTTTCTATTTTTCTCCTCCTAGAAGCCTAGCGTGTCTCTCCACACTGGGGCTGCTGCAACACCAGACCAGTGATCTTTCCTAAGCACCGTTACACTTCTAAAACCTGCAGCATTTTGCAGAGCTTTGCTTTTCCTTCCTGGACACGATGTAGAAGAAGCAGAGGGTAGTTCTTCGGGGCCTTTTCTGCTGCTGCCTGAGCAAACCACCTGCTTCCTCTTGTGCTCTGCAGGGCTTGATGGAACCTCCTTTCCCTTTGTGAGCACAGAGTACAAGATGAATCCTTGGGCATCTAATGTCTTTTATTTCTTGTTCTTTTTGAAAACTCATTTTATCATTTCATTCAAATCTCACATTTTTCTTTTTTTTTTTTAACATTTTGAGTTGGCCTTTTCCATGTGTTTTTTTCAGCTCTTCAGAATGAATCAGGATATTGTAACACCAAATGAGAACGTGTGCTTTCATAAAGGGATTGAGTCCACCAGTACTGCAGTGACCCTCCCTTTTCCTCTCCCTCCCCTCTCCCTCTGTGAGCTTGCTTTTAGGGAAGGGCAGTCTTTCAGGCTTACCTCTAATTCTCTCCACCTTACTAAAATCTGAATAACGATAGCTATTTTAATTTAGAGTAGCTCTGACTAAACTTTGAAAAGTACTTCCTCAAATTAAATCCTCTTTTGTTATTTGTAAGTTGGGCTGAAATTGTTTTTATTATGAAATGACGGTTTATTTGTCTAGAGGCTTAGATTCTCTTGAAAATCTGACAACCTTTTATTGTGTATGAAATTTTATAACCAAAGTTACTTTCGTAACATGATCATGAACTATCAAAATAAGAATTGAGAAGTTTAAGAAAGTGGAATCCTGTATAGACTACTGGGATGTTGATACAGAAACAACTTTTTCTGTAAAAACATGAGAATGAAAGTATATCGCAATTCACTGAACAACTACAACCAACTTATCAGGTTTCTAATGACATGGTTTTCAGATTGGATGCAAACTCTGTTCAGGTAGTGTCTTGAATCCCTTTGGTCTCTGGAGAAGCCTTTTTGCAGCATTCCAGGGGGACTGGTGGATCACGTGGGAAGACCTTTACAAGTTAGCGTTTATACTCAGTGCGTTCTGAGGATTGTCCCAATGAGACTTTTTTTTTTCCTTTTTAAGTTTATTTTACTTATTTTGAGAGAGAGGGAGAGGGAGAGAATCCCAAACAAGCTCTGCACTGCCAGCACAGAGCCCAATGGGACTTTCTTAAACTTGTTCCTTGTTTTCCCACACTAATAGCTAAAAAATCTAGAAGAACTATTTGAGAAAAGTACTGTGGAGCTTTTCAGATAATAACCTTTGATTGGATTTTTAGCAGAGATATTTTTAGAGAATATAATACCTGGGCCATGGTTTGAAATCGTAGAGGAGTTCTGGCTTAAGAACCAGATTGTGAAACACTCCAGGTTTCTGTCCTCTAATTGATTATGCAGGTTGTCACAGTCAACCAAATTATTGATTGTTTTGGATTAAGATAAATAATTGGCACTAGATTCTAGGTAGGTTTTGAGATGTACGTTATTTTAGATCCTCTGACACAAAACTACTTTTGAGATGGAAAAACCAGAATATTATGAAAGTTTAAACCGAGTCCCTGCAATGACTTCTGGAATTCAGGAAGCATTCCCTCTTCTGCTCACAAGCAGGAGCTTGCTCCTCTGCCAGGAATTCCTTCTGTGAGTTCTTGGAGAAAAGACACTTAGAGGAAGTACATTTGAGGGAAGTTGCTTATGCTTACCTCTGAAGCAGTTGATAAAATATAAAACTCTTAACTGTAGGAGAGCACCCATCAGATAAAACCTAGCACTTGCCCTTTGGTGTGCATTTAGTTTTCAGTATGTGTTTTGGTTTTCTGTGTTTGTTTTGGTTTTGTTTTTTTGGCTAGGAACTTTGCAAAACTGGCAGTGCTAACTTTTAAGGATCAACTTTGACCTTTTTCTAACTGTTCTAACCAGTCTCTACAGCTTGTGCAAGTGACAGGTGGCTGGAGAAGCCCAGGGCCACCCTACTGTGGCAGTGGTTGAAGGGATACACTCACACTCCATTGCTGACACTGATTTATTCCATTTTGGTTTCCATTTTGCTTTGTTTTTGTTTGACTCTTTTTCCCCAAATATGTTTTTTTATTTATGGAATTGAAAATTTCCACTAATGACAGCTAAAATTCCATGTACATTGTTAGCTCTGTTTCTCTTGGATGTTTCATGTTGCTTCAGTATAGCTTTGTACAAAGTAGCCAGTTCTGTAAGGATATGCTGTGTTGTCATCATGGGCGTACCTGAGTGTGAGGTTACCAGACTGGTCAGGTTGTTCTGTTGAAATATGTTTCTTATTTGTAATCTTTCTCTCTCTCTCTCTCTCTCTTTTTTCTTCTTTCGCCCAATGTTGAAGATGTAGAACTTTGTTTATAAATAACATTTTATATAACCTCATTCATGCACCTGAGTTTATACTTTTTGTGACTTTAGACTATAACAGTTTGTATTTGGGGACATTTTAATGTGATCATTGTGCTAATAAATAAATTACACTAATAAACATCTTACATTAACACCTTACAGACTGGATTTGGTTGGAGTCTTAATTACTGAAGTATGATGTGACTAAGACATGAGTTTGGCAAATAAAGACTTGAGGAGTGAATTCTCAGTCTAAGCTTCTGATCCCACCCATAATAATTTCATAGTTGTATGGGCATTTTACTCTTTGCCAGACATTTTCATTTTCACTTACGTATCTTTGATTCTCAGAATAACTCCTTTTCATCCAGAATCTGTATTAGGTAAGCCCAAATGACTGATATTTTATGGTATCTGGTGAGAAAAACAGTTGGCAGAGTGGCAACATGCAGTTAATCCAAAAGAGTTTCATGGCATATCAATTATTGTTCAATACCTTCTAAGACTACATGTGTGTGCTTAGTTTAGTCCAGTTAAA